AAAAAAAAAAGGAGTTAATGCAATAAAAACTTCTGATTAGTTACGGTTTTGTATCTATCTCAGAATTAGAGCTTTATATAAATTTCACATAGCTATTCTTTTGCTAGAAAACTATAAGTTCATGCTCAAGAAATCCTACTTTTATAAAATGTAATTTTTTGCCCTATCAATATATGGTTCAGAATGTCATCAGATGTTTTAGTCTTTAAAGGCAGAAGAACATTTTTCTATTTATATTTGTCTAAAAATTACAAAAATTAATATTAGTACTGAATATGGTCGATGATGTTACCATCATGCATTGTCAGATGGACATTTGTCTGTGCTGTTCCTAAGAGAAGAATGGGAGTTCCAAAAAGCTTATAAGTTATGGCAGCCAGTCCTCTCTGTTTCTTTATTAACTTTCAGTGTACTGTTTATATCTTTTTGTTTGTTTGTTAGTTTTCGAGACAGTGTCTCACTCTGTTACCCAGACTGGAGTGCAATGGTACAGTCTCGGCTCACTGCAACCTCTGCCTCCGAGGTTCAAGTGATTCTCCTGCCTCAGCCTCCCCAGTAGCTGGGATTACTGACATGCCACCACACCTGGCTAATTTTTGTATTTTTAGTAGAGACAGGGTTTCACCACGTTGGTCAGGCTGGTCTCAAACTCCTTGACCTCAAACGACCCGCCCGCCTCAGCCTCCCAAAGTGCTGGGATTATAGGCATGAGCCAACATGCCTGGTCTCACCATGTTGTCCAGGCTGGTCTCGAACTTTTGGCCTAAAGTGATCTGCCCGCCTCAGCCTCCCAAAGTGCTGGGATTATAGACGTGAGCCACTGTGCCTGGCTTTTTGTTTTTTTTTTTGGAGATAGAGTCTCGCTCTTATCACCCAGGCTGGAGTGGAGTGGTATGATCTCAACTCACTACAACCTCCACCTCTTGGGTTCAAGCGATTCTCCTGGCTAATTTTTTGTATCTTTAGTAGAGATAGGGTTTCAATGTGTTAGCCAGGATGGTCTCGATTTCCAGACCTTGTGATTCCCAAAGTGCTGGGATTACAGGCATGAGCCACTGTGCCTGGTCGTTATATATTTTCTTTTACAAAATAACAGTCTTCCAAATTTCATAACCATTACAGAAATAACAAGTGGCTCTCAGAAGCTACTTTGCAGATAGATATATTTTTTTAAAACACATGCATTTAATCATATACTTTTTGGCGTACATAAAATCTTAATAATTACCGAGAAAGTAACTGCTTAAAAATAACCCTATGCTATGGAGAGATCTTGTTAGAAAAAAGATATTCAGAATTTCTTTCGCCAGCATTTGATTCTGTTATTAAAAAAATGAGAGATATCAAACCATATACTTTAAAGAGAATTTTCTAATCTCTTCCAGAAGCTTCTTTGAACCAAAATTCTAAAATAGAAAAAAAATCATATTTCTTTCAATAAAAATAACTATTAATTTTAGTGAGTGAAAAATTATTTTTATTGTTATAAAGACCAAAGATGAGTATTTTGAAAACATGCTTTGGAATTTTGTCCATACATGTAAAACCTGAATGCAAAAAAAAGTGTAGGTTCTTAATCTGAACGAGTTGTTCCAGATAGCCTATCATTAATTCTTAAAATTTTACAAAAACTTTGTATAAATGAGGTAGAAGAGGAAATGATAAGGTGGCTTCAAGAATAATTTTAAGTGACCCAAAAATCAAAGGTGATAGTTTGAAAGATGCTGACAAATCAAAGATCTTTGACTGTAGCTGCAAAAATGCTTTTTAAAAAGAAGGTGAAAGAATCACTTGGGAAAAGGCTGCTTTGGCTCGATTCAATAATTAATTTTTTATGAAGGCAGCTATGTGACATTGCCCTGGGGAGTACAGAATGACATCTTTTTTTTTTTTAAAGTCATATTTCTTAATGAGCAAAAAGCAAATATTTAAAAAGCAAGTTTACATAAAAGCCTTCTCAAGAAAACAAGTTCCTAGATTCTGCCACTATTTGGTCCCAGATTCTACCACAAATTACAATGACAATGATAACAGAATGAGTGTCCATTATGTCAATTTTCACTACAAAATATTTAAATAATATTTAGTAATACTGACTAAGGCTGAAAAGGTGATTTTAATTCAAGATTTCTACAGAAAACAATTAAAATCCAATAATTAAAAGGATAAGCTTCCTTTATCTGGAAATTCATAGTATTCTCTACGATGTTGGATAACAGCATTATTGCATACATTAATTATTCACTGAACTACTTATGTCTACAATGCTGACATACATCTAAGACCACAATTAATGTAAACACTACACTGAAATAAATTTGATCTTATAAAGACTAATTCAGTATACTACATTAATAATGCACAAATATATTATTAATATGGTAGTAATTAAGCCTGATTATTTTCCCTACCAAATTCATGATTCCAAAGTTTACCTGCCATTATGTGCCCAAAAACTCCTTGAAAGCATTCTGATCATAGTCCGTGTATTTGAGTTGGATTCTGTAGAAACGTTTAGGCTCCACAAACGGAAGTCAATGGATAGCAGATAACGGATGAACTCCTTGGAATGTTAAGAAAAAAATGTGAAAATGGGTTTATTTGTATGAAAAAATATCTGACTAAAAAACAAATGTTTTTCTCATTACAAAAGTAATACAGGTTCATTTTCCAGTAAATATTTTACAGTATCTCCTTTTTTCATGCTACTGAGCCAGGGACTTAATGGCAATTTTCTAAAAACGAATCATCAATTTAGAAGCACTGCACCCTCCTTTCCCTTTCTCCCCACTTTTTCCACTTTCTTTGCTAAGTATAGTTTACTTATGTCACTTTTGCCCACTCTGTACTCTTGTAGACGCTAGTTCCGAAAGATGTTAACACATATTCTGGAGAAAAAAAGCTTCTCTTGTCAAATAAGTTTGGGAAATGCTTCTTCTCTCAAAGTTTACAGTGCATATTTAGCAAGCGTTCCCAAGAGATCCCTCAGTAAAGAAATCTGTATAAGCCATAGCTTCCTATCTTTACTTTGCCACAAATCCTTTTGTGGAACAAATATTGGGGAAACATTAGCGGGCTAATCTGTTAACATGAGTGTACATTACCTAAGCTTTAGCTAAAGATAAGGAGAGATGTCTTGGAACCCCTATCACTGAAGAGGCTAATTTAGAGTGAAGAAAACAGAAAACTATGAGCTGGCAGTACCTGAACTTCTAAAAGTAGAAGGAAGATTAACAGAATTTAGAAACAGAATATTTAAGATATAGTACTGTAACACTTCATGGAATAAATTAGATTGAACAGATTTTTTTCTTCTAATCTGTAATTTTCTATGATAAAAACAATATATGCTCATTGTATAATACATGGACCAGTCAGAAAAGTTTAAAAAGGAGGGGAAAACAGCTATAATTCCATTACTTAAAAGCAGGCAATTTTGACATTTTGGCCTATTTCTTGTTCTTTTTTCTTATAAGACCAATAAAACATAAAGAGAAAAATTTAAAGTTTTAAAGATCTGTAAAAAATTAACAACCTATACTGTTTTTCACTATACTATGTTTAAAAATAAGCATGGTGAAGATGAAATAGTGTGAGCTGTGAAATTGTCAAATATGGGCTAAAATTCAGACTTTGCACTCACTAGGTATGTTACCTGCTTAAAAAAAAAATCTAATTTAGCTTAAGTTCCCCCACTGTAAAATCTGGATAATGCCAGCCACTTCATGTTTTTACTGCCAAGAATAAAATGTATGAAAATAACATACACTGAACTTAATGAAAACAAATATTGGCCGCTTCCTAGTATTACTCAGATCTTTCCATGATTAAAAATGAGGGATGGGAAAGTAGCAAAATTAAGAAAAAAGAGAAGGGAAACAAATATTACATGTAAGGCTAAAAATTCTGCAGAAAAATGTGCCTCAGAAACGTGAAATCAAGGAAGCTCAAGCATTTCTGAAGTATCACAAATTACCATATTATTCCTGATGTTAAATATATTCTTTTAAAAAGTTTTAAATTCTTTAACAGAAAAATTGTAGCTTTTTAAAAGCTAACTTAGTAGATTTAAATAGAAAAGAGGCAAAGATTTTACAAAATTTTATTATATTCTCTTCACTGCTTTATAACAATTACATATGCTTACATTTAAAGTTGGGTAACAAGTTTTTCCTACAAATTAGTAAAAGGTGATCTCGGCTGGGCACAGTGGCACAAGCCTGTAATCCCAGCACTTTGGGAGGCCAAGGCAGGTGGATCATGAGGTCAAGATATCAAGTCCATCCTGTAGTCCCAGCTACTTGGGAGGCTGAGGCAGGAGAATCACTTGAATCCAGGAGGCGGAGGTTGCAGTGAGCCGAGATCACACGACTGCACTCTGGCCTGGCAACAGAGTGAGACTCCATCTCAAAAAAAACGGTGACTTTAGACATTATGTTTTTGGTTTTTTTTTCTTTTATGTATTTATTTTTGTTTTTTAAAGACGGGGTTTCACCATGTTGGTCAGGCTGGTCTTGAACTCCCGACCTCAGGTGATCCGCCCACCTTGGCTTCCAAAGTGCTTGGATTACAGGCGTGAGCCACCACGCCCAGCTGACATCATGTTTTACTACATTCTAAATTTTGTGGCAACAACTATGATTTGAAGAATCAGTGTGGTAGACTACCTTGGACTAGGTGAAAGACCCGGGTTCTATTTCCAGCTCTGACATTTCAAAGGTGTGTGAGATAAATCAAAACTTTTCTGTCTTAGTTTTTCTATCTATAAAACACTGATTATCTCATCTTGCTCTAGTAAGGATCTAGTGTTAATGTAATATAAGAATCAAATACTGGCTGTCTTTTAGCCAGGGGAACTGGGTAGCTGGGAGTATGAGTAGTGGGGGGACTTTTACTGTATTGCCTTTTATATCATATGAAGTTTACATACAGGCAAGTACTATTTACGAAATAAATAACACTTTACCCCCAAATTATTAAATAGGCTAGGAATTTTCAGGACACATTCAGAAATACAAAAATCTTAGCATTTCTAAAGTGCCTTCAATGTTCCTTTTTTAATATTTTGGTCTCCTTAGCTATTGTTACACTCTTCTAGCCTTACCTTTCACAAGATTAATCACTTTTGCACCAAGTACATATTTTAATAGAAAATTATTTTTAAAACTCCTTCCATAAGCCAGTACTGGTATATCCTCTTAGATAAGCTCTGTAAGATCACTTGATTTTACATAGGTAATACCATCATCGGTAGAATGGCAAATGTACCCATGTTTTCTCACTCAATGGCCCTTGACACCAACAAAATTAGTGAGCCTAAGGGTAGTATAAGTGGTTACAACACAGCAAAGCTGCAATTCAATCTGTGACTTTGGTATCATTTTCAGTCAGCTCAAATAGCCACCCACACCTATGAGATAAGCACTGTTAATGATAAATAACTCTATTTCGAAAATTTTTGATATTCAGTAACATGGCTACACTGAGTTCTTTTTTAAAAACTGTATTATTTTAACTAACTAGACAAGTTTGCTAATATTTAAGTTACACATCTTTCATTACTGCACTATCATCTTGTCCTACTGTATGAATGTCTAGTTCCCTCCACAAGACCATAAATTCACTGAAGGTATTACCATTTGCAGACATTTGACTGAAACAAATGGAATTGTGAAAGCATTATACTAGCAAAAGCAAGAATACATTTTTTTAACATTTGAAAAATCTACTGGATAATTATTGAAACAAATCCCACTTTAAACAAAAACCACTAAATACCCATCCAAAGTACCCCTTTAATAACATGAGACATTAATAACAATTACTTTTACATATCCATGAGTATCTCCTATATACTCTAACAATGCAGTGGAGGTAGGTGTCATCTGCATTTTAGAGATGAGGAATTCGATTTTCAGTAAAGGAACATATTCAAGGTCATATAAGTGCCAGGTAGAATTAAAACCTAGGACTGTAGAACTCGGAGGCTCAAGCTCTTATCATACATGCGAAATCTGCAAAGAAAATTGTTCTTTAACGTATGAATCAAATGGTTTGATTGATAAGAGAAAAAGACAGATGTGTGGACGCCAATCATAGTCTTAAAGTCACATGGATATTATAGATATTACAGTGAAGGCATTTTATAGCTATAACTTGTTCTAATTTGGAGATTCTTCTTATGCTGAGCTCTGAATAGTACTAACCAGAAATCTCCCCCTGCTTTATTCAACATAGAGTTGACTATTATGTGAGTTCATCTTGAACTCCACGTAGTTTAACCAATGACAGCAAGTTACTTGAACAAAGCATTTATAAACCGGTCTATCCAAAAAACAAATGATCTCCAAAGAAAAATTAGGTCACTCAGAAAGCATCATCTCAGGTACCATTGCTCTTTCGGGAAATCAACGGTGGGTTATTTTCCCACAAATCCCAAGTTCTTTTTAAGCAGTCATTCTTCCCCTTCATTCATATACAAACCTCTGCGTCTAGCAAGGCTATCTGGAGCTCTAGTACTAAAAACAACGCCTCACACAATGCCATCAAGGTAAGAACACGACGGTTTGCCTGTGTGCTTGCAACTTTTCACAATGGAACTACATTAAAAAAAAATAGGGAAACCTCTTCAACAGAAGAAAACATCTCACTTAGGTCATCAACTAAATGTGATTGGTACTGGATGGTAACACAAAAACATTGAAAAATTCTCAAAGATAAGTACGAACGAAAGAATATCATTCTGAAGGTTTTCATCAGAAGCTGGTGTACCAATCTGGATAATGTTAGTGGCCAAGACTCTAGCAGATACTGCATGGATCAAATGTAAGCACTCAACGCAGTTAAGTTACAACTCTTCTTTTGGTTCTAAACATTCAGTTCAGTAAACTTTAGGTAGGCTCTGAATAGAGAACACAAGTTACTTTCTTCAAAAGGGGTATACAGAATCGCAAGGAATAAACATTAATGTATATACCCCATACCTTCAGTGACCAAGAGTAACCAACCAGAGCTGAAATTAAGTCATTCCTCCTTTATCTCTACAGCAGCGACAAGGTGAGGGCACGAATGATGCCAAGATTAGAGGCTCGAAAAGATCTCGCCTTCTTCTCCAGAGAAGATGCTCAAAGATCTGTCTGCTAACTGGGCCCCAAGAAGGGACCGGATCCTTTTAGGAATCCGGGTATTGTGGCCCGGGAGGAGACCCTGGAGTGCAGGAACAAGACCCCGGCCTACGAGACCAGCAGCGGCCACCCTTCCCCCACTCACCTCCTGGAGCGCAGCTTAACTGGGGTTGCCAGAGTAACTGCTGCCATCACCATCGCCATCACTCAGGGCGCTTGCTTAAGTGGGGAGGGGAGGCCCAACCACTCCGGCACCTCGTGTGGGTCTTACAAAGCAGATACCTTTCTGCCACCCCTAATCCCGCTTCGGCGTTCTGGTCCCATCCTAGCCGTCACAGTCATTGCCTCAGCCAGGTCCCTGGGCGCCGCCACCACTTCCGTGTTCAGCTCATTCCCTTCCTCCCTTCCTCCCTTTCTCCCTTCCTCCCTTCCTCCCTCACTGCCCAGGAGACCGGCTAATTTCCACGCGGAGGGCGCCGCCGCTGACGCCACCACTCCGCGACCTCTGGCGGGACCTGCGTTGGGAGTGGGCGGGTCGGCGCAGGCGCATTTTGGTGAGCGAGCCGAAGCGCGGGAAGCGGCTGTTGAGGAGCCTGAGTCGCGGAGGCTCGGTCACCCAGGTGAGTCCCCACTCTGGCTGCCCTCTCCCGCCAAGGACATGCGTGTTCTTTTCCCGGCTTATTGTCTGACAGACCCTCCGCCTTATCCTGCTGGTGTCACTCGGGAGGGGAAACCGGGCTGCGGGGAGCGTGCCCTGGAGGAAACTAAGCTGTCTTTCGATCCCCAGCCTCGCTGCTTTTCTCTCATTTCAAATAATAAGACTGGCTTTTATAAAACATTTTCAGGTAGATAAAGGGAAAGATGCCGGCCACACGGAAGCCAATGAGATATGGACATACGGAGGGACACACGGAGGTCTGTTTTGATGATTCTGGGAGGTAAGGTCTTTGAAAAACAGAACGTTACAGGTGCAAATGTTAAAACATTTATCCGTAAACATTATGTATGCAGTCGGCCGAAAATGACTCATGTGGATAGAGAGGAATAATGTTGAAATCTAAAATGGCACGCATATTTCTTTAGATTTATTGTTTGATTCGCACCGTCATGGTAATTTTAGTATACCAACAAAGTTAAAAATCGTACTTCAGAGGATGACAAGGTGCGAGCTTCTCCCCACATATTTTCCCTTTCTCTGCGCCTCACATTATTAATTTTGTCAGATCACAAGATACTGCCTGTTTGTCAAGTTCGATGGCCTGTTGTGTTTGGAATGTTATCCTTACATGGCTAAATGATTCTATTTCCTTTTTTTTTTTCCTTCTAACTTTTTGACGGCTTAAAAAAAATTTTTTTTTTCCTCTGCTTGATTCCTAAACTGTAATATCTTCCTATGGTTATTCTGGTCCCTTTTATCTTTCCAAGTCCCATTCTTAGGCAGTACTGCTTGATTGCACGGGTGTCACTGTCATTCCTATGTTGATTGATTCATTGAAAAAATATTTGTGTGTCCTTTTTGCTGACTACTAGAGATAGAATAGAGCCAACCAGGCTGGGCACGGTGGCTCACACCTGTAATCCCAGCATTTTGGGAGGCCGAGGCAGGTGGATTCCCTGAGGTCAGGAGTTGGAGACCAGTCTGGCCAACATAGTGAAACCCCATCTTACTAAAAATACAAAAAAATTAGCTGGGCATGGTGGCGTATGCCTGTAATCTCAGCTACTTGGGAGGCTGAGGCAGGGGAATTGCTTGAACCAGAGAAGTGGAGGTTGCAGTGAGCTGAGATTATGCCACTGCACTCCAGCCTGGGTGACAGAGCGAGGATTTCGTCTCAAAAAAAAAAAAAGAAATAGAGTGAACCAGGCTTTTTGTCCTCTATCGAGCTTAAGTTCTTTTTGGATTGACAGGCATTGAGCACAAATTAATAACAATAAATGTGTATTTAGAAATAGTAATATATGCAGTCATAAACATGTATGAGGAGAAGGTCATCTGAGTTAAAGGAGTCGTGGAAGGCTTCTTTGAGGAGGTGTTTCTTGAGAGGCCATCTGAAGACTGATTAGGCAGTAAGCTGTATAAAGAGATGAGCGGTGGTGGCGGTAGGGTAGTGAGTGATGGCATATTCTGCAGAGGCAACACCGTGTGTAAAGGCCCAAAAGGGCCAGGGATCATGATGTGCTCAAAGAACTGAAAGAAAACTAGCCTTGCTAAAATGTAGAGAGTGATTCACAGTTTGATGAGAGATGAATCTGTGAGGGTAGACCATGATGTCCTATCCAAGACCTGGATTTTATTAAGGAGTCTTGTTTTATCCTAAAAGCACTGAGAAGGTATTAAAGGCTTGAAGCAGAGAGATGTGATCAGATTAGTTTTAGAGAAAAGGCATGGAGGATGAATTGGCAGAGGAGCACTCATGGATGCAGAAAGACTGTTAGAAGATACCTATATTCGTTTGGGTGTGATGGAAGCTTGGACTAGAGTAAACATAGTTGTGTAGAAAAGAGGAAACATTCAGGAAATATTTAAAAAGATAAAGTCAACAGGATAGATCAGATATTAAGGCTGGAGAAAGAGGCCTCAGGGATAATGTCTACGTTTATGGATGTTACAGTTGAGACAGTGATGCTTCCATTTGCAAGTAACAGCAACACTTGAAGAAAGGCACATTTCAGAGGTAGAACTGTGGGTGGAGATTGAGTTTACATTTGATATGATTTTTGTAGGATTTCTCTGAGATACTCAACTAGAGGGGTAGACAGTAGGATAAATGGATCTTAAGCCTGGAGAAAAATGTGAGCTAGAGATAGAAATATACAGCTGACCCTTAAACAACATGAATTTGAACTGTGTATGTCCACTTATTCATGGATTTTTTAAATATGCATATTAGAAAATTTTGTGGCAATTTCTAATAATTTGAAAAAATAGCAGATGAACCACATAGCCTAGAAATGTGGAAAAATTAAGAAAAAAAAATGTCATGAGTGCATAAAGTATATGTAGATACTAGTGTATTTTATCATTTCTTACCATAAAATATACATAAATGTATTATAAAAAGTTAAAATGTATTAAAACTTACACAAACATTTCCAGACCACCTGCAGTCAAGAGATGTAAACAAACATAAAGATGTGTTACATCATAACTGCATAAAATTAACTGCAGTATGTACTGTATTACTGTAATAATTTCATAGTCACCTCCTGTTGCTGTTTTGGTAAGCTTAAGTGTATCTGCTTAAAACACTGTATGATGCTGATATAGCTGTTGTATCTGCTAAAAACATTGTATGATGTCATATCTGCTAAAAACACTGTATGTTGCTTATGAGCAGTTTGTCTCTCCAGTAAATTGCCTATCCCAGTGAAAAGACATCTCTGTTGTCTTTTCATCATGTTTAGTACAATACCGTAAACCTTGAATAACATCATGGGAATCATATGAAGTGTAACTAGTGATGCTGGACATACTCCCAAGAAGCAGAGAAAAGTCATGACATTAAGAGAGAAAGTTGGATTGCTTGATATGTCCTATAGATTGAGGTCTGCAACTGCAGTTGCTCACTATTTCAAGATAAATGAATCCAGTGTAAGAACCACTGTGAAAAGGAAATTTGAGACACTTACTTCAGCTACGCCAGCAGACATGAAAACCTTGCACCTTTTGTGAAATAACTATTTTGTATTGACAATGCAGCTTTTAGGTGGGTATAGGATTGCAATAGAAAGGCATAGCCATAGACTCTAATGCGGTTCCAGAAAAAGTGAAGTCATTATATGACAACTCAAAAGTAAAAGGAAGGTGAAGGATCTAAGCCTGGAAAGTTTAATACCAGCAGAGGATGGTTTGATAATATCTGAAAGAGATTTGGCTTAGAAAATGTCAAGATGAGTAGGCGTGTTGGCTCATGCCTGTAATCACAGCATTTTGGGAGGCCGAGGTGGGTGGATTACCTGAGGTCAGGAGTTCGAGACCAGCATGGCCAACATGCTAAAATCCCGTCTCTACTAAAAATACAAAAAATTAGCTGGGCACAGTGGCAGGCACCTGTAGTCCCAGCTACTCAGGAGGCTGAGGCAAGAGAATTACTTGAACCTGGGAGGTGGAGGTTGCATTGAGCTGAGATTGCGCCGTTGCACTCCAGCCTGGGTAGCAATAGCGAAACTCTATTA